CCGCTTCATGGCGTCTGGCCACCAGTTGTCACTGTCTGATCACCGCCTCGTGGCGTGATAAGAGATGTGCCAATTGATGTTGAGTTGGTTTTCGGCCACGGGAGCCTTAGGGCCGCTAAAAACGCCTTCTGCGCACACAAAATTGGGTTAGTAAGGCATATGGCGACTGCTTCTGCAGTCACAAGTATCCATTGACGCAGGAATTCGGATTGTTTCGCCGGCACTTTATACAAGCCTCGAAGGGATTGGTTTAAGTCTCCCCCTTAATTAGCGCTGATTGGTTGCCTAAACTTTTGCTAACTCTACACTCCCTTTATATTATTGCACTTGCCTGATAATGAATTAATCGAATACGTTCATTCACCTAACTTGACTTCCTTACTGACCAAGACAAGGCAAATAAATCAAACTCGATGGAACATGTACACAAACCTTATTTAATATTGGCCACCTGGCGGGATCGTTTGGTTAGTGGTGGTCTCTTTAAGCCTTTCTCGAGCATTGGGAGCCTGTCGTTGTAAGAGAGTGCTGTTTAAAAAATTGCCGTTCGTTACTCGGTCTGCGCTACCTGATAGCTTAATAAACGCTCCAACTTACTGAAGCGTACAACGCCCCAGAATTAGAGTAGTACATTGAAGTAAATGCTCACAACTGCTAGCCGCGGTGAGTAAAAATCGCGGGCTAATCCGATACCTAATTAGCAATAAATATGGTAAAGGATGGACCTAGAAGAAGTTTTAGGAGCGAGTGAAATCAGAAAAGAATGTCACTTGCCTCCTGCATCCAACTGACAAACCAGCTTAGGTATTATGATAACGTTTACATTTTAGGCGTTCTATGACTTAATTTCCACGTATACTAACCACGGCAATGCAGGGTCATTCGAGCATGAAACGTTTAATACACTCTGTTTAATTGCCACCTTACCATATCCATATGGCATCGGAAAAAAATGCAAATCATTTCTTGTTAAACTGTAACTAATGAGAAGCATGGAAAAATGGTCACGAAAGCCTACGTTAGATTCACAGTCTCCCGTAAGCAGTTAATTATCAGATTCTTAAAAGTTTCTGCACAAATTGTAGGTTATTATTCAGTAATTTACATGTGTAGCATTGTAAACTCGTTTGGGTTCAGTATTTCTTCTCTTTAATGAGAAAACCAGTCAAATTGGAATGATCCACAGAGTATCATTATCTCCGCTAATAAGCACAGAATATTTTAATGCATGAAGTCCACTACCTACACATGAAAATATTTTAAATCGTGAGCATTTGAATTGGGATATCTATAACTAAACTCTATTTTACTCATAATTTATTTCCGTGTTGCTAATAGCTGTTAAGGATCTTCTTGATGCAAGCAATTTGCAGCAGTCAGAGGATTCTTGCTTAAAGTTAAGCAGCCCTTCAATCTGTGCCTCCTGGGGCTGAATTGAGTGGTTAAATCCATCAAATTCAAGCAGCACGTCATCGCATTTAGTAACGGCCCGCCAGGCTGCTCTCGTTGATATTTCACATGGCCACTGGAACATTACAGTGAACCATGAAGCAATGACAATGAGCCAATGTCTAGGCATTTCACGATTAAAAGCGAGCAAACAGTTTAGCAAATAGAATTTTCAACAATACATCATACAGTAAGAACAATACAATGAAAGAAAAAGAGACTGAGCACGTGTTGTTCCAGCTGGCCCGTTGTATGGGCACAACCGCCTCCAAATCAATAGTTGCTCCAACTCATTCTAATCTGCACGAATGCTGACAACTATCATGTGACAGT